GGCGGCTTCTTCTCCGCACCCAGGGCCCGGCAGGTGAGGCCCCGCGGCTCAGGCCGGGCGCCCCAGCTTGCCCGCCCTGGTTCCCTGGTGGGGTCGCGGCCCCCAGCCCGCAGCCCTGCCTTCCCTCTTCCCCACAGCCAGGCCCCGTCACCGAGGTGGACGGGGCGGTGGCCACGGACTTCTTCACGGTGCTGTCCACGGGCCAGCACTACACCGAGGACCAGTGGCTGAACATGCAGGCCTTCTCCATGCTGCGGGCGTGGCTGCTGCACGGCGGCCCCGAGGGCCCTGGCGGCCCCGACGCAGGTGCACTGTGGGGGGGAAGGCGGGTAGATGGGGACAGTGTTGGCCCAGCCCAGGCCTGACTGGGAGCCGAGCCGAGAGCACAGCCTGGTGGCGTTAGCCGCCTCGGGGAGCCTCGGTCAGCACCGCAGGGCCCCCGCCCCACAGGGTGTGCACAGATGCCTGCTGCTCCGCAGGCCTCTCTGGGATGGACGTCCTCGGGCTGGGGCAGAGACCAGGGTGCCCGGTGGCAGGCGGGCCCTGGGGCTGAGCGCGCGCCCCCTCCTCCCACAGACAACAGATCAGAGCTGGAGGGCTCCACGCTGTCCGTGCTGTCCGCCGCCTCCACTGCCAGCCACCTGCTGCCCCCCCAGGAGCGGCTGAGGGAGGTGGCCTTCGAGTACTGCCAGCGCCTCATCGAGCAGAGCAGCCGGCGTGAGTGCCCGCCCCGCCGACGGGCAGGCAGGGGAAGCCCCGGGGTTGGCGCCGGGCAGCCTGTGCCCGGAGCGCGCCCTGCCCGCCGGCCGCCGGCCTGGGGCTGTCCTGAGGCCGATGCCTGAGCTGACCACCCTCTTCCCCTCCCAGGAGCCCTGAGGAAGGGGGACGCGGACCTGCAGAGAGCCGTAAGTGGCCCGCGGGGCGGTGGCGGCGGCCAGGCCTCGCGGTCCGGCTGATGGGGCGGCGGTGTCCCCGGAGTGCCTGGTGGCGGCGGCCAGGCCTCGCGGTCCGGCTGATGGGGTGGCGGTGTCCCCGCAGTGCCTGGTGGAGGCGGTGCTGGTGCTGGACCTGCTGTGCCGGCAGGACCCCTGCTTCCTGTACCGCACACTGGCCTGCCTGCGGGAGCTGCCCGGGCGGCTGGGCACGGATCCGGCCTGCGTGCGGGCACTGCTGCCCCTCGCCCAGTTCTTCCTGAACCACGGTGAGCCGGGCCGCGTTGCTGGAAGGGCTGTGGGCAGCAGAGGGCGGCAGTTCCTCACCAGTGGTGAAGATGTCACCCACTGAGTCCCAGAGCTGCCCGCGAGACCCAAGGCTGAGGACCCAGGGTCTCCCTGTGTTGGGGGCCGGCTCCCCCATGCGGGGGTCTCGGAGCCTTGGCCTGTCCAGCCACAGGGACTCGGTCAGCCGGGACGAGGCACAGCCCCCGACCTGACGGCCCCGCGCTCTCCAGGGGAGGCGGCCGCGGTGGACTCGGAGGCCATCCACGAGCAGCTGTTCACCCGGGTCCCGGCCCAGCTCTTCCACAGCCCCGTGCTGGCGCTGGAGTTCGTCCAGTTTTGCCGGGACAACCTGCACGTGCTGGGCAGGGCCACGGGCATCCTCTGCCGGAGCTTCCCCAACCTCCTCAAGGCAGGTCCACCCACCCCAGCGCCAGGGCCACCGCGGGGCGAGGGGTGGGGCCGGGGGCGGCCACCTGACCCGGGGCTGAGTGCTCACAGCGAGCCGGCGGGCCCCTGCGCAGCCTTTGCCTGAGGCAGGCGGGAGGTGAGGGGTGGCGCTGTTGGCACGGGAGTGGCTGGGAAGGCTGGAAGAGACTGTTCCCTGAGCAGAGCGTGGGGTGGGGGAGGAGGCGGAGACGGCAGCGCCGCCCGGGCCGGGTCTCTGACCCTGACAGCCGCCGTGGCCTCTGCAGTTCCTGGCCTGGAACAGCCCGCCCCTCACCTCGGAGTTCGTGGCGCTGCTCCCAGCCCTGGTGGACGCCGGCTCGGCCGTGGAGCTGCTGCACGCACTGCTGGACCTGCCCTGCCTCACCGCGGCGCTGGACCTGCAGCTCAGGTGGGCCCCAGGCCCCGAGGGGCTGTGACGGGACCCGCCGTGGTGCTGGCCAGTGGGTGCCCGTGAGGGCGGAGGCCAAGTCAGCGTGGTCCGCCTGTGCCTGCAGCCGCGGCCTGGCCTGGCCTTGGCCTCTCTGCCCGCAGGTCGTCACCCGCCCCGTCCGAGCGGCCGCTCTGGGACGCCTCCTTCAGGAACCCCAGCTGCCTGGAGGCCCTGCGGGACCCGCAGTTCCAGGGTCTCTTCCAGTACCTGCTGCGCACCAAGGCCTGCGGCTCCGTGGAGAGGTGGGGCCCTGCACCAGGGAGCGCCAGGGCTCAGCCGGCCGGGCTGCGCACACGCACAGGGCCTTGCGGTCAGCTCTGTCCACTGCCCCCTGAGCGTCCCAGGTGCCGGGGGTTGGGGGACTGAGGCCCGGCTGCCCCGCTGTCCCGAGCGCACTGCGTCCCAATGCCTGCCCGAGCCCCTGGGGGAGGGCAGTGGCGGCCTGGCTGCCCGGGACCGCACGGCTCTGCCGGCTGTACTGCCGCTGCGGGCCCCACGGGGCCGGGGCCGGGGCTCAGCAGCCTCACTGCCCACCCCCCCAGGCTGAGCCCGCTCCACCAGCTGCTGCAGCCCATGGCCGGCTGCGCCCGGGTGGTGCAGTGCGCGGAGGCCGTGCCCACCCTGCTCCAAGCGTTCTTCTCAGCCGTGACGCAGGTGAGCCCGCTGCCCGGGGCCGACCGCGGTGCTGCCCTCCACCCGTGTAGAAAGCCGCCAGGCTCCGGGGTGGGGGCGGTCAGAGAAAGGCTGCGTATGCCACACCCCAGCTGGGTGTGGTTTCCGAGACCCCTGGGCTGCAGCTGGCGGGGTTAGGACTGAGCCCATCTCTGCCGCGACCCCCCAGTTTGCCGACGACACTCTGACCCGCCAGCTGGCCCTGCTGCTTCTGGAGAGGAGCGACTCGCTGTACGCGGTGCCAGGCTTTGAGGCCCGCGTGCACAGGTGCGTGTGCTGCGGCTGCCGTCTTCCCCTCCCAGGGTTGTGGCCGCTCCTCCGCCCCAGGCCGGGGTTCCCGTCTCGGCCCTCAGGGCTTCCTCCCTACCCAGGGTGTTCCCTGCAGCCAGCCTCCTGTCCCCTGGGGTCACTGCCTGGTGTGGCCTGAGGGCCGCTCGGGCCCCTCCCCGGGGCAGGAAGCGCTGGGAGGGCGGGGGTCTCGGGCCCGCCCGTAGCAGGAGGACCCGGCTCTCACGGCAGGGTGTTGAGCAGCCAGTTCCTGGTGCTGTGCCAGCGGAAGCCCTCCCTGGTGGTGGAGCTGGCCCGAGCGCTCCTGGAGCTGGTGGGCCACGTGGGCAGCGTCTGCAGCAAAGCCAGCCTCGTCACCAGCGTGGTAAGGCAGGCGTCGCCTCTGTCCTCTCGCCCAGGCGTGGCCAGCCCGGGCTGAGCCTCTGTCCCCGGCCTAGGTGTGGGCCATCGGCGAGTACCTGTCCGTGACCTGTGACCGGCGCTGCACCGTGGAGCAGATCAACAGGTTCTTCGAGGCCCTGGAGGCCCTGCTGTTCGAGGTCACGCAGTCGCGGCCGTCTGCTGCCCTGCCCGCCTGCCCGCCCCAGGTCATCACCGCGCTCATGACCACGCTCACCAAGCTGGCCTCCCGCAGCCAGGACCTGATCCCCAGGTGCCCGGGACTGGCCTGCTGCCTTAGGGTGGGTGCTGGGAGGGGCCGGTCTGCTGCCAGCTAACTGGGCCCCTCTCCGCCCCAGGGTGTCTCTGTTCCTGTCCAAGCTGAGGACCTGGGTCCCGGGCCCCAGCCCCGTGCACGGCGAGGACGTGGCAGCCGTGCGCACGCGGGCCACGGAGCTGCTCAACCTGCTCAGGATGCCTAGCGTGGCCCAGTTCGTGCTCACGCCGAGCATGGCGGTGTGCGACCCCCGCTATCACCGTGACACGCATACGGCCCTGCCCCTGGCCCTGCGCACGGCCAGCCGGCTGGCGGAGCAGGAGGCCGGCCTGCTGCCCGCCTGAAGGACCAGCCCAGGTGGAGAGGCCTCCTGGGAGAACGGGGCCTGCAACTGCACCCATCTGTTCCTTTTCTGGACGGAAGCATCCCTACCTCAGCTGTGGCCACCTCGTGGAGGCAGGGAGCTGTATGGGCGTCTCCCTGTGCCGGCCCCACCAGGCCCTGGCCCACAGCACCAGGCCAAGGCAAGAATAGGAAAGATGCCGGCGCACCAGGGTCTAGTCCTGGTCGGGGCGCTGGATTCTGTCCTGGTTGCCCCTCTTACAGGCCAGCTCTCTGCTGTGGCCCAGGAGTGTAGTGGAGGATGGCTCAAGTCCTTGGGCCCTGCACCCCATGGGAGACCAGGGGAGGCACCTGGCTCCTGCCATAGGATCAGCGCAGTGTGCCGGCCGCGGTGGCCATTGGAGGGTGAACCAACGGCAAAGGAAGACCTTTCTCTCTCTGTCTCTCTCTCTCACTGTCCACTCTGCCTGTCAAAAAATAAATAAGTTGTGGAGTATTTTCTCTTCCTGATATCTAGGAGACATTGGTTAATACTGGTGTAGTAACTTTCTTATCACTCAATATCAGATATTCCTAATTACCAACAGGTAATTTTCTTTGACCATAGAGTATTTAGAAGTATGTTTCAGGCCGGTGCCACGGCTCACTAGGCTAATCCTCCACCTGCGGCGCCGGCACACCGGGTTCTAGTCTTGGTTGGGGCACCGGAGTCTGTCCCGGTTGCCCCTCTTCCAGGCCAGCTCTCTGCTGTGGCCCGGGAGTGCAGTGGAGGATGGTCCAAGTGCTTGGGCCCTGCACCCCATGGGAGACCAGGAGAAGTACCTGGCTCCTGCCATCGGATCAGCATGGTGCGCCGGCCGCGGCAGCCATTGGAGGGTGAACCAACGGCAAAGGAAGACCTTTCTCTCTCACTGTCCTCTTTGCCTGTCAGAAAAAAAAAAAAAAGAATAGGAAAGACAGTTTATTCACTCTGCCTAGTAAAGCCTGTACCCACAGAACGCTGGAGTGAGTGTCCGAGCTGTGTATAAATCAGGGCTACACAGGACTTGCGCCATCTAGCGGGCAGGGCGGCCCTGCGGCTGCCTATGGAGGGGGCGTGCGGAAGCGGATTTTCCTGGCTGTTTCCATGTCGGACTTGGCGACCAGAAACCGCATCTTCTTGCCACCACGCCTGATGAGATCCACAGCTCTGAAATCAACGAAGGCAGTGAGAGCAGCCCAGCGCGGGGTCCTGGGAAAGCCTGCAGGGGGCCCTGCCCTGGGCAAGCAGGTACCTCAGGTAGCTGACGCCCATCAGGCTGTGGCCGTCCACCTCCAGGATCCGGTCTCCCAGCGACAGCCGTCCGTCAGCTGCCGCAGCACTGCCCGGCAGCAGGGTCTGGATGTAGAGCCCCGGGGCGCCCAGGGGCGTGTGCTGCGTGAGGAGGGGACAGGCCTCAGGCTCCATGGACACTGGCACCCACGACTGTGCTGGGCCCAGCTTGCTCACAACAGGGGGTCATCACTGGACAAGCCCAGGAGAGGTGGCGCTGGGTCCACCTGCACGGGCCTTCCTGGGGCCCCGCCAACTCACCATGCCATCAATCAAGCCCATCCCCAGCCCGGAGGGGCCTCGCTCCAGCTCCACCATGAACACGTAGCAGAAGTCGTCCGTGCTGGAGCTGCCACTGGAGGGCGCGAGAGGGGGCTCGTCCACAGGGGCCACGGAGTCTCCTGGTGGGCAGAGAGCAGCAGCTGGGACCCCAGACAGGCACTAAGGACCAGTCTGCCTGGAGGGGCACCTCAGCCCTGCCCTGTGGCTGCGCCCAGGCTGCCACTGCTGACCACACCACGCCTGCCCTTGAGCCTGGGGTTCTCCACAGTGACCCTCGTGCCCCTCGGGCTGTCTTGGTCGGCATCTCAGGCAGAGCCAGGAACTGGCCTGCAGCCACGGCCTGACAAGTGTCTGAGCTCAGCTCCACACACGCAAGCAGGTGAACTGTCTGGCCCAGCCCTGCCAGGTGGTCCCAACCCTCGGGACATACTCAGATGTGGCCAGGGCACTCGGATCCCCCAGCCCCACATACACCGGGGCGCAGACTCGGGCTCCCCAGGGGCAGTCTGGCACCCCAGGGCCTTTCCTGGCCCCACCCAGCTGTGTGCACACACACACACCCTGCTTCCACCCCTGGGCCCCCTGACCCACATCCCTGCTGACAAGCCACAGCTGCCGGATGGGGGCCAGTGCCTGCCCACAGAGACCCAGGGTCCCACGGGTGGAGCAGTCGGACCTGGAGCCAAGGGCCGGGGGCAGGTCTGGCCTCACCTTCTGCTGCCGTCCCTGGGGGGCTGGCCAGTCCATTCCTCTGCCCTGCCGGGAGCGCTTTGCCACAGGGGATGCCGGGCTCAGGCCAGTCGGGGTCTCTGGACTCGAGGCCCAGCGGGGTGCTGGGAGGCGTGAGCAGGCACGAGGGGTCTGCCTGCAGTGGGCCCGGCTGGGGGCCCCCACGGCCCCTATGGCTGGGCTGCCTTCCCAGGGGGCCCTGCACCTTGGGAGCTCCAGAAGAAAGGGAGCTGATGGGGGCGGCTTCCAGGGCTCCGCCTTGGCCCCCAGGATGTCGCTCAGTTATGGGGTGCACGCCCTAGGTTGAGGGGAAGGAGAGAGTCAGGCCCAGATCACACGTGCCCCCGGCCCCTCTGGCCATCAGAGGACACGCCCGTCAGTCCCGTCCACAGCAGGCGAGCCCACCCCCTCAGCTGAGCCAGGACTGGCGGGCCTGCCCTGTAGCACACAGGTACCTCGCCGTGTGCCGGCCGTGTGGCGCTGCCGCTGGAGCCGGCCTGGCTGCGCAGGCCCCACAGGAAGTGGCGGATGTAGAGCAGGTGCTGGTAGATGCTGTCGTCCAGGCACTCCGCGTCCAGGTCCACCTGGAAGCCCTCGCTGGGCAGCACGATGGGCGGGGGGTGCTCGTAGGACTCCAGGACGTCCTCTGGGGGGGGGGGGAGCAGCAGCCCTGCGCCCTCCGGCCCACCAAGGGCGGGGGCAGGGCCCTGGCGTCTGGACTCTCCATCAAGCAGCTCCACCCTCAGCCCGGCTGCCCGCCCACTCCCCGAGCCTGGAGCCCCCACGGCCTGTGCTGTGTCCCCGCACGTGTCACAGCAGCCGCCGCCGCGGCGTTCACACGCACACACACACACACACAGAGGCACAGCGGGCCACAGGCGTGACGGAATGGCGGGGAGGAGGGACGCAGGACCCACTTCACCAAGGCCCTGTCTGCCCGTGTGCTGCATCCACACTAGTGGAGGAACACCACGTGACTTAGCACACGCGTGGGGCCACACAGCCCCAACACAGGTAGGCACGGACGCACACCTGTGTGCGGCACACGCTTGGGCTGCAAGGCCACGCCCTGCGGCAGATGCTGCTGGCGCCCCCAGGAGAGGGAGCCCTTCGGCCTCAGCCTGGATTTGCAGCAGGGCACTGCCCTCTTTGCAGGTCCACAGGCCCAGGTGGAGACAGAAGCCCAATGGCAGGGGGCCGGGGCCGGGCTGACAGCCCCCTAGGCCCTCCCCCTGCTCACCTAGCTGGAAGGCTTCAGGGCTGTCCTGGGGCCCCGGCTCCCAGGCACTCAGGGGGCCCATGGCAGAGGCCAGCTGGTACTGCGTCAGTAACCGGTGCAGTTGCGCTGGGCTCAGGGCAGGGAAGGCGGCCCGCAGGCCAGCCCAGCTCATCTGGGGACAGGAAGGAACATGGGGTCAAAGGCCCGCAGGTGCAAGAGGTGGCCCAAGCCCCACCCTGTACAGGCAGAGCCAGAGCAGGACGGGGTCCCTGGCTCTCATTCCCGCCAGGGAGACAGCAGGGAGGGCCCCAAGGGGACAGTGACAGACAACAGTCCCAGGAGGGCCCCTCACCCAGTGAACGTGGCCCTCACATGGCCACAACACCAGAGGAAGGACCACTGAGGAAACGCTCCTGACCTCACACAGGCTGACAGCAGCGACCCGGCCACGGGAGGTGCCACGAGGCTGACAGGATGGGGGGCGGAGGCCTCCGGAGACAGCCAGCCTGCACCCTGCTCGCCCATCGTGGGCATCGATGGGCATCCGTGGCTCCTGAGAAGGGAGCCGCCCCGCGCCAGGCCACCGCTCATTCCCCTTCCACGTTTGCACATCAGGTGGCGTGGCGGGCAGGCGGGTACCAGAGCCCAGCAGCAGCCACGGATCTGCGTGACACGTCCTCCCCCTGCCGTGCCCTGAATCCTCCGGCTCGGACGCTGGGACGTCCATCCCTGCCCCGACATCTCACTGTGACCAACAGACCACACTCTACTCGCGCCGTGGCCGCGGAGCGTGGGCCCTTCCCAGGCAGGGTTACCAGGGACCGCGGCTCTGCAGGCACGACTGTGTAGACACGCCTGCGTAGACACCTGTCAACTGCACACGGGAGCTTCTCCACCGGCGCACGGCTGGACCAGAGCACGCTGCAGGCCGTCCGCAGCCTCTCTGGGCCAGGTTGGCCAGTGAGGCCGCCAGCCCCGGCCTGGCACCCGCTTCCTTCCTGTCAACCGTTTCCCTGTTTCGGGTTCCACTCTGCTGACAGCGATGTGAGGCCCTCCAGGCCGTGGTGTGGAGGTGGGGCTGGGTTTTAAGATGAGGATCCCCTATCTCGGGTTCGGGAAGAATCTGGCTGATAATGGCATTATTTTAAGCAAGTCACCCGTGAAGCCATCTGGGTCTGAATCCTTACGAGAAGGATTTAAGTGATAGATCAGGTTAATGCATTTGGACTACTGGGATTTTTAGATGTCCTCTCGTGTCAGTTTTAATAAGCATTTTTCCCATTTGTCCATTTCACCTAAACTGTCAAATATGTCAGCAAAAGCTTGGCCATACAGTGTTCTGCTGATGTTTACCGTAGGAGCTACTTGCTGTCACCTTTTCATTTTTGATCCTCAAACTTGTATTTTCTTGTATTAAACTTTTCAAGGGACCAACTCTGGGCTCCACTGCTCCACAAGGGCCGTGGTAACAATCCACTGGTTCGCTCCCCAGATGCCCACGGCCAGGGCCAGGCAGGGCCACGGCCAGGGACCTGGAGCTCCACCTACATCCCCCGTGCGGGTGGGGCAGGGCCCGAGCCCGGAGCTGTCACCTGCCGTCTTCCAGAGCGCCAGGAGCAGGAAGCGGGGTACACGCGGGCAGCCAGGGCTGGAACTGGCGCCCTGGCACCCCAACACGGGCCGCAGGGGACAGCACCCACCCTAGGGCCACAGTGCTGGCCCCTGTTAAGCTTCTACTCAACCTTGCAAGTGTTCGTTGAGAAACTGCAGGCCGGCTTCCCCACCGGCCCCTGCCACGCACCTGTCTGCTCTCCCACTGCCTTCGGCTTGTCACTGTCCTGCTCGTTTGGGTTTTGGTTTGGTTTTCTGTTCCTGCTCTACGATCGCTCATTCTCAGCCTTCATGGCTTTCTAATACAGGCTGCGCATTCCTAACCTCAAGATCCAAAACCCACAACTCCCAGAACACGGCACTCAGTGTGCAAACACCCGCCCCCAACCTCACGCCGACAGGCCCCGTCAGCACAAGGCGCACCTGAATGCGCAGGGAACCGCCCTCAGTGCCGGCAGCTCGGCCCTCCCCCCGGCCACTCCCCGTGTGCGCTGCCGGGCGAGGCTCCCGCCAGGCATCCACCAAGCGCCGGTGCTTTTCACAATGGCTGCCCGGGCGTCCTTGTGCCCAGCCCCACCTGTCTGCCCGTTTCCCGAGGCACCCGGCGTTGCCAACTCCAGGGCCTTTGGTCCCGCGCTCTGCCTCTGGCCGCCGGTGCCCCCACCATGCCCTCTGTCCCGATGGCTGTGACCCGGGGCGGCAGCCTGGCCCGCTCTCCAGCCTCACGGCCTCAACCTTCTAGAGAGTGAAGCTTCCCTTCTGCGCGGGCGCGAGGAGGGCCTGTGGCTCAGGCGTCTCCTGGCGACGCCACAGCCACTCAGGTTCCGCCAGAGCTGTGCCTGCCTGGCAGGCAGACACCAGGCACTGGGTTTCCGCCCATCACCTGTGGGACGGCCAGGGCACTGTGTCCAGTGCTGGTAACGCGGGGCACAGCCGGCCAATGCAGTGTCGCTGCCCTGGGGCCGGAGCCCCGCCTCCTCACCTGGCCGCTGGTGGGGCTGCAGGACCGAGTGCCCCTTCTGCGCCGGCCATCAGCTGTGGTCACCTCATGCCTCACAGCCCCTCCCCCGTCCACCCTTGTCTGATCCACTCTGTGGCCTCCTATGCCTGGACTAGGCCCACTCAGACAACCCAGGGTCACCCCTACACACACTGTCACAGGGCCTGGAGACGGGGCAGGCGTCTCGGGGCAGCGTCCCCCAGCCACAGGTGGATGACTGGGGCAGAGGCAGGTCGGTGAGATAGTCCCAGCACACCCCCCCCTTTCTGGACCGGGTCCCTGCCTGGTTTGGAAGCTGCCTGCCCCTGAGGGCCCAGCCCCTCCACCACACCTGCCCGTCCCCCACCTGGATGAGCTGGGCACTGGGAGTGGCCAGCAGGTGCAGGGTGCAGGAGAGCTTCCGGAAGAAGCGCTCCCCGGCCGCCCCGAGGCCAGCGCTCCTCGTCCACTCCAGGAGCTGCTGCAGGCGGGCACAGGCCTGGACGCCTCGGGGCCAGTGGAAGCAGCTGAGGGAGGGGCCTGTGGAGGGCAGAGGGAGGTGACCCCGGCACCCACGGGGTCCCACAGCCTGCCCCCCCAGCTCAAGGGCAGACCCGGCCCCAGTTTTCAGGGAGGCAGGGCAGGAGGGGCTGGCGCCCCGAGCGTCTGGGCACCACCCAGAGCCCCCTCGTGCCCCGACAGGACGCGGGCTGGGCACTTGCGCAGGACAGCGGCGCTCACCCCTGTCCAGGACCTGGTTGAGGAGCAGCGTGCCCGAGAAGAAGAAGAGGTAGGCGAGCATCTGGGAGGCGACCTCAGGGTGCACCTGCAGCTGCCGCAGGAGGTCCAGGGCGGCCTGGTACACGGACACGACGCGGCGCAGCTCCTCGGGCAGCGCTGGGGCCGAGCCGCAGCTCTCTCGGGGCTCCGTCTGGAACGGGGGGCACTCCAGGAGGGCCGGCAGGCAGACGTACAGGCACTGGGGGCCGGACAACAGCAGCAGCCACTGCAGGGCGCTGTGGCCGCGACCTGCCCGCCCCGGCCTCGGGGCTGCTGAGCACACACACGGAGCGCGGGGTTCAGCAGCTCCCGCTCCCGTGCAGGGGCACCCGGGGGAGGGCCTGGTGGGAGGGGCTCCGGCAAAGGAGAGAGGGAGCAGCGCGGTGAAGAGCCGCCACCCCAGGGCGCCCTGCAGCTGGCCAGGCCCACGTGTCCCATGCTGGGGCCTCTCCTGCCTCACTCCTGACCCTCGAAACGCTCCCAGGCAGGGGTGCGTTCCAAGGGAAGGAAGGGAAAGTGTGCGGGGGGGCCCGGGCAGCGCGGCCGCACCTTGGACAGGTAGTACACACACTGCTGGAAGGCGTACAGCACCACCTCCTCCAGCACGGCCATGGCCTCCTCGCTGGCCGTCAGCGCGCAGGAGAACAGCGACTCCTTGGAGCCTGCGGGAGACACCGCACGGCCCTGGCTGGGAGACTCCCCCACGGCCCCTGGCCCGGGAGACACCCCCACGGCCCCTGGCTGGGAGACACCCCCACAGCCCCTGACTGGGAAACACCCCACGGCCCCTGGCTGGGAGACTCCCCACAGCCCCTGGCCCGGGAGACACCCCCACAGCCCCTGGCTAGGAGACTCTCCCACAGCCCCTGGCCTGGGAGACACCCCCACGGCCCCTGGCCCGGGAGACACCCCCACGGCCCCTGGCCTGTGCTCTGGGCTGCACGGCGCGGCCTGGATCCCAGCCGAGGGCAAGAAGGCTGGGTGGGCTCAGAGCACAGACGCCCAGGGGAGCCCAGGCCACCGAGAATCCTGGGGGCTGCTGGAGGATGCTACTGGGCCAAACAGGAGGGGGCAGGCGTGGCTGCAGCGAGACAGAGGGGCTGCCCAGCACTGGAGGGGGCACACCAGGGGCCTTCCGGGACATGAGGCGTGGCTGCCATCCTGGTTGGGGGGGGCCCAGGCACGCCCCGCCTCTCCGCGCCCTCACATCCCCACTGTCTGTAGGCAGCACGCTGCTGTGGGCCTCCCTTGCTGCCCAGAGCTCCTCCAAGGATCCTGCTGTCGGGGCTGTGAGGGGGGCGCTGGGTCAGGGGTGGGCAGCCCGGCCAGGCCCCCCGAGAGCACAGGGCCCTGTTCCCTGCAGCCAACGCGGGCAGACTGGAGGGACGGGCCGAGACAGCCAGGGGCCCTGAGGGAGGCCGCGGCCAGGACAGCGCCCATGCAGACACCGGGCACTTCCATCTCTCGCTTTTGCGCCCTGTGGTGCTTCCCTTGCAGGGCTGTGGCTGCTGGGCTTTGCTGGGCCTTGGGGAGTGACCCTGCAACACTCCCTCCTTCTGGAAGGCTCCAGGCCTCCGGGCAACCACACGGCAGGCCTGACAGCTCAGACGAGGGCACAGCCCCAGGGCCTCCTCTGAGCCGCACCCGGCCCCTCTCCACCACTCCCCGGGCGCAGGGCAGAGGGGCTGGGGGCCGTGTCCCCGACTCCACCTCAGACACACTGCGGTGCCAGGGTTCGAGGGACCAGGAGCTGCACACAGGCCCTGGCTGCCCAAGGACGGGCCTGAGCCCGAGCCACAAAGCGACGAAGCACAGAACTTTTAATGGACGTCCACTGAGGAGGCCTCCTGGACAGAGGCGGCTGGGGACTGGCACGGCTCTGCTCCGACCCCTCCCGCAGGCTCTCCCCTCCTCGCCCTCCGGTGACCCACCCCGTTCTTCTGAGTCTCGAGCTGACCCGGCAGGCGACCTCGGGCCGTGGGCCTCGGGGGCAGGCCTCAGGTGACCGGCGGGCGCCCTCACTCTTCCAGCCCCAACCAAAACAACCTCCTCCCTGAAGCCGGAGGCGGCAGGCGGGGAAGAACCAACTTTTCCCCCAAGAAGTGCCCAGGCGAGGGTCCCTGCGCGAGGCCCACCACGGGAACTGACCGGCACCCAACGTGGACTCACACAAGGCTACTAAGTTGGGGGCTCCCCAGGCACGGGAGCCCTGAGGTCACCGCCTGTTATGGCCAGAACAAGAGGCACTTCCCCGTCGACGTCCCGGAGCCTAGCCCAGCACCGCAGCACAGAGGCCGCTCCCGCAGGGAGACAGCAAGGTGTGCGCACGGGTGCCATGGGCTCTGTCACCCCAGGCGCAAGGCACACTCCCGCCCCACGCCCGACATCCACGCCTGCCACCTGGGACCTGTGCCGACTCCCGGGCTCTCGACCAGCCACAGGACGAGCCCCTGAGCACGGCGGGAGCCAGGCTCCCCAGCCCGACGGCCCCTGTGCAGGCAGCCCTGCCCGTCACTCAGCCGCAGGAGCCCCTCCTCCAGGAGAGCCACGCCTCCGGGCGCTGGGCAGCAGCGGGAGAAGCCAAACTTGACGCTGGCTTTGCTGTGTCGGGGCTCTGACAAAGCCGTGGCCACCCGCAAGTGACACCACTGAGCCCCTGGGGCACCTCACGTCTTTCCCAGCTCCCAGGCACAGCCCCCAGGACCACAGCCGTATCTGGGACAGGCCTGCATGGCCCCAGAGCCCACAGTGTGAGGGAGCGAGCGGCCTGTGTCTGCCCCAGCGGAGCACAGCTGTGTGGGGTGACACGCTAGCACCCACGAGACCGGCACCTCGGCCCACTGCAGGACAGTGCACACACACTCCCCCCCACCCCCGGCCCCGTCCAGGACCTCTCCCCTGCCCCCACGGTGTCTCCAGGCCTCGAGCGGCTGCGTCACGGCCCCCGGCCTCCTGAAGCCCTGCGACGGCCCTGGTCAGGCTCACGCGCTCACCCGCTGCTCCCTCAGCACCTCCGGGGCTCAGGGGCCCGAGACGCACTCCCCCCACGCCGGACTCAAACCCACATGCACTGCAACTGACGGGCAACGCCTTCCTTTCTGAAGCCCTGGCACGGAGGGGCTCGGGCCGGCATCCTCTCGCAGCTCTCCCTCTCCCGGCTCCTGCGCGGGGCTTTTGAAGGTGCCCGTCACGCCTGCAGAGCGCCCACGCAGCCCTGGGTCTCCCGCGGAGGAGAGCCAGGGCTGGGGTGGGCCAGAGGCCCCGGGAGGCCGCCCCACTGGCTCTGGCCTCGTGGGGGTCCCTGCACCAGCAGCACACAGCAGCCCCAACACAGACCCGTCGCGGGGCCGGCGTGCTGGCGGCACACGCGCCCTGCGCCAGCCGTACCTGTCACGTCCAGCTCGTCCTCCATGCTCTGCATGTAGAGCGGACAGGCCTGCTGGGTGAAGTACAGGAGCTCGATGGAGTTGGACATCCAGAAGAGAATGTGCTGCAGGTCTGGAGCGAGATCAGCCATGGGGAAGCTGGCCCAGGAGATGGGTTCCTGGCTACCGAGACAGAGAGACCATGTTACCCGGGGCTGCGACATTCACGGCTGCAATCGGCCGCCCTGTCGCTTGTGATGTTCGTCTTAATGGCAAACAACAGCCATCACTGGAGGCTGGCACTGTGGCGTAGTGGATAAAGCCATTGCCTGCCACACTGGCGTCCCACACGGACACCAGTTCATGTCCCGGCTGCTCCACTCCCAATCCAGCTCCCTGCTGTGGCCTGGGACAGCAGCAGAAGATGGACCAAGTGCTTGGGCCCCTGCACCTGCATGGGAGACCAGGATGAGGCTCCTGGCTGTAGCCTGGCCCAGCTCTGGCTGCTGCAGCCGGTTGGGGAGTGAACCAGCAGATGAAAGCGTTCTCCCCAACTTTCAAACAAATAAATCTTTACACACACACCCCCCACTGTTGACAGCCTAGAGTGCTAGGCGGGGGAGTGTAAAAATGCATGGGTATATTTGACACCTGACAGCCGGAAGCCCCTACAGACGTGGGTCACGACCCTGGGAAAAGGACACCGGTCAGTGAGTCGTTCTCACACCTGCTCTTTTGAAATGAGAGAACACAGCTGTGGACAGAGGTGCATAGTGCACAGGTGTGTGTGCAGGAGGGATTTAGGAGACCAGTGAGTGTGTGTTCCTCCACACGGCAGTTACCCAAGGAAACCGGCAGTCACGGAGGTGGGGGGTGGGGGTGCACCGGCAAGGTGAGGCAGAGCACAACACGGAATCCTAAGAATCAAGGGGCAGGACCAGCACGCCTCACTCCGAGATCTACAGGGCTCCCCAGCCAGCCATGACGCCCCCCAGCGGGCAGGCCGGGCCGGCTCTTCAGGCCCGGCCCTGGTTACTCGGGCTAAGCGCCACAGAAGCAGCCGCCGCTCGCGGCCGAGGTGCCTTCCCTCCCAGGCCCAGGGTCCCCCAGCGCAGGGCTCCCTTTCCAGGGACAGCAGCGGTGTCACAGGCCCACAACAGCAGCCTCCCAGGTCGGCTGGCCCCTCCCAGACTCAGAGCCCCACAAACCACGGCTCCTGCCGCTCAGGCACCAGCCCAGCTTCCTTTTATTCTGCTAAACTGGCCCGCTGAGCTGGCTGAGGGGCGCTGGGGCCCCGGCTACCTCCTCACCAGCACACGCCTTCTCCCCAGACACCTCGCCCTCAGTGCCCTCGAGCAGGCTGAGGGCCGCCCTGGGGTCCCAGCAGCCCAGGTCCACACGTGTCCATGGCATCCACAAGCACCCCAGACCACTCCTGAGACCTGACCCGGGGTCTGCAGCGAGGAATGTGCCGGCGCTGCCTGGTGCACGGCCTCTGTGGCCCCTGCTGGGCCATCCCCAGGGCCAAGCCGGGCAGCGGCCACTGGTCAGTCACAGCCCTGTGCCCCAAGAAGCCTGAGGAGCAGGGTCAGGGTGACCGTCAGGGGAGGCGGCAGGGTCCCGGTGCTGGACGCGCCCCACGTTCCCGGGGGGCCTCTGCCTGTTTCTTCTCCCTGAGGCCCCACCTCTCCCGGTCTGCTGCAGCGGAGGCTGCCGCTTGCCCGGCACAGCCCGAGCCACGGGGCAAGGGCACGTGTTGGGGACAGGCAGGAACAGGTTCACGGTGTTTAAGAAGGGCTGGCTCTGTGCCTTGACCCCAGCGCCAGCCGCTCCACCTCTCGGTGAGAACTCAGAGACGCACTCCGGCCTGCCCGCAACACGGCGAGACCAGCCCTGCCGCCTGGAGCCGCGGGCTGCAACCCAACAGAGGTTGTCATGGGACACAGGCCCTGGGGGTGAGGTGTCCAGCGCGTGGGCTGATGGCAGGGGAGCGGACCAGCAGCCCAGCAGTCACCTGTGATGGTGCGGGGACAGGCCGAGGCCAAGGAACCAGCTGAGACGGGAGCGCCTCAGGACCCCCGGCCAGGGGAGGGGCAGCACGGAACCAGGGGACCGGCCCTGAGGGAGGCAGGAGGAGCACGGGCAGGGCGGCTGCACGCCAGGCCACAAAGGCAGCTCTCGAGCTCCCGGGGGGCCACGGTGTTGCTGAACGGCTGGCTCTGGACGGTTCCGGCGGTAGGGCTGTGCTCAGGGACACCCTGCGAGGCTCTGGGCGGAGGCGGAGTGGGGGCTGCGCGGTCTCTGGGATCCTGCTCCATGTGCACACCCAGGAGCTCAGCCCCTCGCCCAGCGTGGGCACCTCTGACCTTCCCAAACCCCCGAACATTCTGACCAAAAACCCACCCGGCCCAGCAGCCTGGGGCTTCACGGGTGTGCGGTGGCGCCGCGGGCACAGGGGAACTTGGACAGCCTCCACCGGAGCTGCGGCGCCGGGAGGCCTCGGTGCGCAGGGCTGCAGGGGCCGGGCTCACCGCGGCCCGGGGATTTCCATCTCAGCCCTGGATCCCCACACGTGGTCCCGGGCTCTGGGCGTGCAAACAGACACCCAGCCCCAGGACCAGGCGGTGTGCCGCAGGCACGCGGCTCGCCCTGGCATATGGCACACGCGAGCCGTGTGTGCGTGTGGCGGGGTTCCCCAAGGCTGTTCAGGCCCATGTGGAGCAAGTATTTCCAAACAGATTCCGAAGGGAGCGAGTCTGGCAAACAAGCTCCTCACTGCTCACGGGGGCTGCAGGGAAAAGCGCCGAGCGGTGGGGCAGCCCGATGGGCCGCCTGGCCTCCAGGCCCAGCCACGCTCCCGATCCCAGCTCCCTGCTAACGAGACCCCGGCAAGCAGAGCCAGGGCTCCAGTAACTGGGTTCCGGCCACCCGCGCTGCAGACCTGGGCAGTTCTCAGCTCGCAGCTCTGACCGGGCCGGGAGGGCTGGGGCGGGTGCCGGGGAGCTCTGTCTGCCGCTTCCCTCTCTCGCTCCCTTTCAGGTAGAGTGTTATTTAATTCAAGAAACAGAAGCCCAACAGGAAACTCTTTGCTTTTTTGAATCACTTTGTTCAGCAGCAGCTTGCATGTAGCCAAGGGGACAGAGAAGTGAGGGCGGAGGGTCTCGCGATACAGCCACAGGGCGGGCAGGCAGGACGCGGGGGCCACCAGGAGGCTCACCTCGACAGCAGTCCTGGGAGGAGACACGGAGGGGCAGAGGTGACAGCGAGGACAGAACCCCCTCCCCCACGCCTGTCCCAGGAACCTCAGGACCGTGCCCGGGAGAATAAGAACAGACCAACCCCGGGCACGTGGAGGTAGAACACAGAACACCAGAAGTCCGGGGAAGACCTTAAAGTAAGACAGAGAAACTAATCACAACAGGACAGAAACCAGACACAGACTTCTCGTTACACTCACAGATGCTGAAACATAATGGAAAAAAATTCAAGTCTGGAAAGAGAAGAGCTGAAGTCTCCCTCAAGAGCAGGGGCAAGATCAAAACACTGTCCACGGCGAGTCCGAGAGGGCTGAGGGCCGCCTGAGGCCTCGCGGGAAGAGCTGCTCCAGGGTGCGTTCCAGGAACGAGCAGGGAGGTGGAGCAAACACCGACAATAACAAAAAGCAACCAAACCCAAAGCACACAGGAGCACGAGATAAATCCCAACAGGAGGCCGGCGCCGCGGCTCACTAGGCTAATCCTCTGCCTTGCGGCGCCAGCACACCGGGTTCTAGTCCCGGTCGGGGCGCCGGATTCTGTCCCGGTTGCCCCTCTTCCAGGCCAGCTCTCTGCTGTGGCCCGGGAGTGCAGTGGAGGATGGCCCAGGTGCTTGGGCCCTGCACCCCATGGGAGACCAGGAGAAGCACCTGGCTCCTGCCTTCGGATCAGCGCAGTGCGCCGGCCACAGCACGCCAGCCGCGGCGGCCGTTGGAGGGTGAACCAACGGCAAAGGAAGACCTTTCTCTCTGTCTCTCTCACTGTCCACTCTGCCTGTCAAAAAAAAAAAAAAAATCCCAACAGGGATGCTGGGGACATTCTGCGGGACAGGTTTGAAAACCAGGAGAAGCCTGGGAAACAGGCATCAAGGGCAACCTGGACGTGGGGACGGAGGCCAGAGCACTCCAGGACCTATGTGCAACATGGAGACTGGCACGGGGACGTCCACGCGCTAGACGTCCACACGGAGACTTCCACACGGAGACTTCCACACGTTAGACGTCCACACATTAGACGTCCACACATTAGACGTCCACACATTAGACGTCCACACATTAGATGTCCACACGCTAGACGTCCACACGCTAGACATCCACGAGCTAGACTTCCACGCACTAGACTTCCACATGGAGACTTCCACACGGAGACTCCACACGCTAGACTTCCACACACTAATAACGTTAGGGGCCGGTGTTGAGGCATAGCCAGCAAAGCCACCACCTGTGGTGCTAGCTTCCATTCCAGCCCTGTTCACGTCCCGGCGGCTCCACTTCCGAACCAGCCCCCGCTACAGGCCTGGGAAAAACAGCGGAAGATGGCCCAAGCACTTAGGCCTCTGCACTCATGTGGGAGACCCAGAAGAAACTCCAGGCTCCTGGCTTTGGCCTGGCCAACATGGCCACTTGGGGAGTGAACCAGCAGATGGAAGATCTCTGTCTCTCTCTCCTCCTCTCTCCCTCCCTGTCTCCTCTGTCTCTCTTTCCTTCCGTCCCTGTCACTCTGCCTTTAGAAAAATTGAGTAGGGGCCAGCGCTGTGGCGTAGTGCGTAAAGCCGCCACCTACAGTGCCGGCATCCCACACGGGCACCAGTTCAAGTCCTGGTTGCTCCACTTCCGACCCAGCTCTCTGCAATGCCCTGGGAAGGCAGTAGAGGATGGCTCAAGTGCTTGGACCTCTGCATCTGTGTGGGAGACCTGGAAGAAGCTCCTGGCTTCAGATCGGCGCAGCTCCAAAGAGATCGGTGTAGCCATCTGGGGAGTGAACCGTGGATGGAAGACCTCTCTCTTTCTCTCTCTCTCTCTCTGCCTCTGCCTCTCTGCATACAACTCTATCTTCAAGTAAATAAACAAATCGTAAAAAAGAAAGAAAAAGAAAAATTTAGTAAGTACATCTTTTTAAAACAACAATAAACAAACTTGACCTAACAGACATGTACTGGACTCTCAGCCAAAAAGAAAGTAAATGCTCTGTGAAGTACAAATAGAAAGCTTGCAAAACTGACCAGGAGCTGGCCAACAAGGATTAACAAGCAGCCAGCAGTGGACACCTCACAAAGCAGACCTAACAGAAAGCACTGGCACAGCAGAACCCCACTTGCATGTGAAATTCAGACAGCGTCCCAGCAGTGCAGACACCGAAGGAGGAAGTACAGCAGAGCCTACAGCACCCGGGGAGAGAGAGAGTACTGGCGGATAAAGCCAAGCACACAGCAACGGCAGAGCCGGCTCCCTGGAACAGCTGATGGCAAAGGGGGACAGCACATCCAAGCTATTTCCACAGACCGGAGAACTCACGGGGAAACGCTGCAGACGTCATCCCAATGGCTTTGAAAACATGGACACTTTTCTAGGAGAGCGAAACTAGCAAAATTAATAACAACAACAAAACCAGAAAACTACAGAAGCCAATCGTCACTAAAGAAATGGAATCAGCAAATCCGTACCCGCGGTGGGCACCGCCTCAGGGGCCATCACAGCCTGTGTCCCAAAGACACAGTTCCCAGCGCGTTTTCTGCAAACCCCGTGACTTGGATAAAAAACAAAGTATGCGGACCAGTTCACTGAGGACTCCGCACGGGGAAACCCGGAGTGGAAAATCTGCAACCCACACCACTAGTTCTCTGGGAGGTGCAAACCCGAGCCCACTGAGGCACCACCTCACCCCTCAGAAGGCTGTTCCAGAAAGAAGGACCGAGCACAGGTCAAGAGCACGGAGAACAGGGAGCCCTCGCACACACCCGCAGGAATCTGAGTCGGCACAGCCGTCGGCTCTGCAGGTCCTGACCCCGCGGGAGGGCCGTGGGGCTGAGCAAGCACCTGCACCCCACACTTACAGGAACCCTGTGCACGCACGGCAGCCAAGACGGAGTCAACAGACAAGGCTGTCACCTCAGCTGGAGACAGAACCGGACACCACGGTGACTCTGGCTTGGCCACAGGAACCACAGACGTCTGTGACAGCGTGGGTGGGCCAGGCGGTCCTTGCCACTCAGCGGAACACATGGGGGCACGGACACCAACAACCTCACTCATCGTAGGACGCGACAAAGGCTGATGTCATGGACGTAGAGACGGCAGCGGTCCCCAGGTGCTGGGGCAGGCCGGGAGAAGCGGCCGGTTCAAGGGCACGGAACTTCAGACAAATGGAGAAACAAATAATCTGAGAGAAACTGCGCGGCCTGAGGACTATGTGACCAACTGTCGCATTCCCAAAAGGAGGCAGGTGCTATATGTCCTCACTACAAAACCCGTGCTATGCAAGTAACACACATTTACATCAACGACCGTATCGTGCTGTCCTAAACAATAGCCCTGAAGGGTTTAATCCCAGGAACTCAGGAAAAAGTCAACATGAGAACATCCACCAACCTAACACCTCGCGGCAGCACAAAGGACGAAACATGACGACCTCAGGTGCAGAAGGAGCGCTTAGTAACATCCAGTGGACACTCACAATTCAGGACCGGGGAGGGGTCAGCCTAGCGACTGGGATGCTGGTCAGGATGCCGGCAGTCCGCAGCAGGTGCCTGGGCCGGATTCTTGACGCCAGCTTCCTGCTAACGCAGACCCCGGGAGGCAGGGTGATGGCTCCAGGGACAGGATTTCTGCCACCTCTGTGGAGCCCTGAATTGAATTCCCAGCCCCAGCCTCAGCCTGGCCTTGTCCGGCTGCTGCATGAATTCGGGGTGCCACCAGCATATGGAGCTCTCTTTCTCTCTGTTGGCCTGCCTCCCAAATAAGTTAACAAAAGAAATGAAAACAGAAACACAATGCAGAGAACTGGGCAAATACGGTGACATGTTTACAGTGTGAAATCCGAGTTTGGATTCGTGGGTGACTGACACACTCCATACTGCTCTGTGTTTTGGAAAAGATTCACTACTTTTCAAAGGAAAAAGGAAAAAACACAGCCCACCAGCATGCAGTAGGGTGGAAACAGGACTGTTTCTAGGCCAAAGCCATAAAAGTTCTGGCAAACACGGCACGAGCGTGCAGCTGCTCAACGGGAGGCCTTGGCTCTTCCTGTGCGCGGCGAAGCCGGGCAGGCAGCAGGTCCCCACCTCACACCGGGGAGCGGGGGTCCCAGTCGCCCTGACAGACGGTGCTTGCAAGGATGGAAGGTCCTGGTCTCACCTGCACCTCAGCAGGACGTCTGTGTGTGCTCCTGTCACCCCCACACCCCATCCCCAACCCCGGAACGCAGGCTGTCCCAGAGCAGAGCAGGAGGGGGAGCAGCCAGCACAACGCCACACTGTGCTGGGCCCTGCGCCGACACCATGCAGACCTGAAGAGCAGGCGCCACCTGTGCACCTGTGCTTCGTACCTGCTCGCTGTCCCTCAGGCTGAGGCCGGTACTGCCTCGGGGGTCTGGCTTCTGTCCAACTATCCCCCCTCCATGCAGCTCCAGCCCTCAAAGGCCTGTGACGCTCAGCATGTAGTATTCGGATCTTGCTCCAGCTTTGCGACATCAGCACGAGGCCAGGAGCAGGTATGTTTGAGTGGGCAGTGTTCTGAGGCCAGCCCCCGGCCAGCCAGGGTGGACGGCCATGACCTCCAGCCCCTGCCCTGCCCCGGGCTTCCTCTCTGCATGCCCCTTCTCCCACCTTTGAAAGGGGCCCGGTGATAATGACTCCTGTGCCCTCAGCAGGACCCCGGGGCGTGTGCACCAAGTGCACATGGCAAGAGCCCAGCACACACGGGGGCTGTTTCCCCTGGCCTGACCTGGGAGCCGTGGCCACCACGCGGAGCCATGTGCCCTCACAGATCCCACGCACGTGGTCACCACCATCACATGTGTGTGTCTGTATCGGTCTACAGATGACCTCATCGCAGATACCTTTCTGGGTGCCTCTGCCAGCCCTGCTCTTAGATGCACCTACACCGAGAGCACACAGCACGCACGCCAGAAACGCCCAGCACCGAGGCCATGACCAGGCGACCCCCGGCTTCCACCCCCACACCCTGGCCTGGGCACAGTGCTCTCCGGGCGTCCACTCCAGATGAGGCGGTAGGCTGGGACCCGCACCCTTCGCTACAGCATCCAAATAGCTTCCAGAGTCCCACGAGTGGCGTGGGGCAGACACGGTGCTTTTCGAGGAAACGTGGGACAGGGCAAGGCACTGTCATGTCTCAGAACCGGGAGCACCATCTCCCGCCCGGGTCTCTACACAGTCACCGGGGAAGGGAGGGGGGAAGCGTGGCAGAGGACCGAGCCTGCTCAGCCTGGTGGACACGCCAGACGGACCCCCACAGGGCTGCCCAGGCTGGTGAGGGAAGAAATGGGAGCAGCCGCTGGGCCCACAGCACAGCGGCGAAAGCCCAGAGCTGACCCCGAGGCCTCTGGGAGCCCCTGCCGGACGTGGCTGCAGAGGGACTCTCACGCCAACGGGCCCCTTGCTGCTAAAGGCAGGAAGAGCTGGGCCGTACTTACAGTCGCGCCTGCTTCTCTGCCAGTTCTTTGGTTTTCTCCTACAATCACAAAGAGAAACAAAGGAAATGAGCTCACAGGACCACAGGGATGCAGGATGCACCTCACTCCATCTCCAGGACACCGCGCCGCTGCCCGGCCTCCTCGCTCCCCACCGAGCCTCGCTGGAAGGCAGGGTTTCCGCGGGGCTCCACCACCTCCCCACCCCGTCACTGAACGTGAGCCACATGTTCCCTACAACAGACGGACATCCCGGCCTCTGCTTCTCGTAGCTGGCCACTTCAACAGTAAAGGCAGGCCAGCCGTTCCACACACGCCACCGGGAGGATTCCAACAGCCTCACTGCTAAGCTTAGTATACACGAGGAGACGCAAAAACCTCATGCAAAGGCAGAGTTAGAAGTTCATTTTCTAAAGACTTATTTATTTATTTATTTATTTATTCTGAGGCACGGTTAGGGAAAGAGAGACAGAGATCCTCCATTGGCTGGTTCACGCCTCAGATGACAATGCCGGGGCTAGGCCAGTCTAAGGCCAGGAGCTTCCATCTGCGTCTCCCACGTAGGTGCAGGGACCCCAAATACCTGAGCTATCTCCCACTGCTGTCTCAGACATGTTAGCAGAGAGCTGCAACACAAGTGGGGCAGCCGGGACTTGAACTGGCGCCATAAGGGATGCCGATGGTGCAGGCGGCAGCTTCACCTGCTGCACCGCAACGCTGGCCCTGGTAAGTTTTCTTGTTTTTGTTTTTGTTTTTTGCTGCAAAAAACTTCCGAGCTCCTCGGTGGTTTACATGCATTTTCCACGCACTTTTTCAAGATCCTCCATATGCACAGATTTTAAAGTTCTTTGGAACCAAAATGAACTTTATCTTTTCATTCTACTATTTAACTGTCTGAAGCCCCTCATACGCTTCAGACGCCGGCCCCAGCGGCGAGCACTACGCAGGCTGGAACATCAGCACACGCACTCGCACTCGCACTCCCCGACGGGACGCAGGCTCAGCCGACTCCCAGTGTCCCTGTCTGTGAGGAAGCAGGAGTCGCTTTGGCAGCCGGGCCTGGGCCTCACCGCAGCCTCTGCTGCTGCCGGACATAGCCAGCTGCTGGCGTGCGCGTCTGATGACAGCACAAGGGCAGACAGGGGTCGAGAACCTGGACGGAGACGCCCACATTCGGAGGCTGGAGCCGTCACACTGAGGTGACAGCCTCGGCTCCCAGGTGCGCTGTGGGGAACCACAGCTGGACCCTGGCTCTCCGCCTGCCACCACACCCTCCTGGGCTCAGTTTCCCCAGCTGTCATGCAGGACACAGTGTCCATGGAGTCAGGATGTTGTGAGAACGAGATCCAAGAGCCCAGCACAAAGCAGACTCGGTCAGAAATGACGATAATCCTGGGGCCGTTTGCACACCACGTGGCTGCACCTGGTTCTAGGCATGAGATGGCACAGAGGGCGTGAGGGGGCACCGTGCATGGGAAGCCGAGTGGGCGTGGCCTGCAGACCCAGGGGAAGGGGCCCACCGCACCCATGGCCCACCTTACACACACTCCACAGGGCAGCTCGTGCTGGTGTTTGCTTTTAGAAAGTTTCAAACATTTTAAATGTGGATTTTCACATGAGACATCAGCCAGGTTCCTACACAGCTGGGTGGTTTCCCTCCCTCCGAGCTTGGGTCAAACTTGGCCAGGATCTCTGACTGACCTTGAACGAGCTACCCCGGGCCCTGGGGGTGGAGTCACGGTGCAGGCAGTAACCACGGCAGGGAGGCCACCACGGTGGGGACACAGGCACCCATTCAGCTGCTCTAGCGCTCCCAGGCCCACCCTCCCAGGGCAGCTGCTGGACAATGTCTGCAGCCATTGTGTGGGTGGCAGGAAGCCGCTGCCAGCACCTCGCGCCCTCAAGACCAGGCTCCACGGCAAGGAATCCGGCCCACGACGGTTCTCAGGCTGGAGGCCGAGAGATCCCGGCCTGGAAGAAAGTGTCGAACAAATGCCGACAGCCCTGCACCTCCACCGCCCCAGCAGCCCAACTTCCCGCCAGCAGAGGGCGCTCCTGGCGCTGACATCACCTGGGCCCTGCAGAGCCCTGCCTCTGGAGCACCTGGTTCCAGGGCAGTGACAGGCAAGCCAGGCTGGACCACAGGGAGGGGCAGAGGCCCTGAGCCCAGCAAGAGGCTCCTGGTGGCCTACAGTCTCGGGCGTCACCAGCTGGGCTGGGAGGTAGACGGGCAGCATCGTGGGGGTGTCAGGGAGGAGTCCCCCGTTCCACCCAGGGCGGGCAGAGCCCGGCCCAGCCCTCCCACAGCCTGAGGACACTGCCCACGACTGACCCAGACTGTCCCGCGGACGGCCTTGGCGATCTTCAGCAGGAGCTGTCCAAACGTGCCTGGCTCCAGGCGCGTGGCCGAGTGCCGGATGCAGAGGCAGAGGAGGAAGGCGGGGGTCAGCTTGTGGTCGTCGCCCCCAGGCTCAATCAGCGTCATGATCCTCTGCACCAGGGTGTCCTCCTCCTCACGTTCAAACTCCAGGTGCAGCCGGCGCCGGCGAGGGAGGGCGTCCGGCGTGGACGGGGTGAGCGCAGCGCCACACACCCGGCAGCTCTGCGGCACGGCCCGGAGGCGAGCCAGGGCCCGGGCGGGCAGGGGCTGGGCCTGCGCAGGGTCCTTGAAGAGCAGCAGGTAGTAGAGGCCCAGGGAGAGCAGGTCGCCGTGGTGCAGCACCACCGTCCGCCGCCCCACCTCGGAGAAGTTGACGGAGATGGGGGCCCCGGGGATGGGCTCCAGCACCAGCCTGGGCCCGGCAGCACCGCCCAGGGGCTGGTGCCGGCGGATGGTGCAGTGCAGGGGCAGGATGTCGGGGGCGGAGAGGCTGATGCTGGGCTTGCTGGAGGGGGTCCGCTGGCCCACCGTGTGCCGCTCCCGGCTCAGCACATACACCAGGCTGTCCTGAAACGCAGACGTGCGACTCAGGGGCCGGACACCCCGGGCAATTCCAGCAGAGGGAAGGGAAAGAACGGAGTCCCTGGCCCTGCTTCCTTAAGCCATGTGGCTGGGACCAGACTACGGGGGCTGACCGTGTCCTGGGCCACCCAGCAGAGCCACGGCAGCCCTGGACAACCCACCCCAGGGCGCCCCGGTGTGTCGAGGGGGAGGAAGGGCAGGCACTGCCCCTCGCTGGAGGAGGGCAGATGCTGCTAGGACGAAAGGTGCAAAGTGCTCGTGGTGGAGGAGTGGGAGCAGACCCAAGCGGACGAGAGGGCGCAAGGCAGGAAGGCTGCGGCGGGAACTGGCCAGGAGCTAGGCCCTTCAAGCCAAGATGCTCCTGACGTCTGTGCAGACACGGCCAGGGTGGGGAGGGGATGCTTTTCTCTGTGCCTCCCCAGACAACTGGGTCACCAGCAGTGGCTCAGCATCCCACACCATGGCCCCAACACGGGCCCGTGGCTCCCCGACCCATGGCCTTCCCCAAAGCCAGGCCAGAAGAGGTCTGGAAAAGGACCTAGAGTGGCAGGAAGTTCTCCGTGGGGGCCAGGTGGCAAAGGACCCTCTGAGACCAGGCTAGAGGGGCCCAGCAGCCCAAGTTACAGGTGAGAGGAGGCCCCGACTTCTTGGAACCAGGCTACAGGCCACACCTGGGCAGGTGGGTGAGGGTGAGGGCGAGGGGAGGCTCACGTGCTGCTGGCTGTAGCCCTGCAGGAGGAGCAGGTGTGGGCACTGGAAGAGGGAGTAGCGCATGGCGTCCTGGCCGGGCTCCTCAGGGCCCTGGGAGACGTCGGGCAGGGTGGTAGCCGGGTTCAGGCTGGTCTCGCTGACCGTGCGGCGCAGCCGGGGCTGGGGGGAACTCCGGGCAGCCCCTGGGGCCAGGGCTGGAGTTCCCTTCGCACGGATCCGCTGCAGCCTCCGGGCCTGCGCATTGATCCCTGGAACAGAAGCAGCAAGGGGTGAAGTCTCCCAGGAGCTCCTGCACTCTGATCCTGCAGGCGGCTTGACTGGGCCCACTGGACACACCCCTGGCAAGGCTGGGCAGCACCTTGGGTGGCACCACCGTGACACCCCAGAAAAGCAGCCCCATGGCCATCACAGGGCAGTCTGTCCACTCCCTGAGGCTCAGAGAGGACCACACCCACACTCCAGGAGCCTGGTGACAGCCCTCGGCCTGCCCAAGAGCCACACCACAGCACGCATGTATCAGAGACCCACCCAATGCTTCTCTCTGCCACACCACTGGCTTCGGCCCCATCCCTGCCCGTTCCTGCCGGCCCACCCATGCGTCAGGCAGAACCTCTGGGGACTGAGGAAGGAAGGAGGAACCATGGTTTTCATGCCACTTTACCAGGACCAGGTGGTGAACCCACCAGGTCACCGTTGGCCCACCGAGCCACCACAGGTCTGCTCTGCGAGAGCACAGCTAGCATATGCCCAGAAACCACACCAACAAACACACGTGCACTCACACACGTACACACAGAGTGTGCAATACACATATGCAGATGCAAATACACATGTGCACAGGGAAACGCACAGCCAGATACACACACTGCCATGTGCACGTACACAGTACACATGTGCATGTGTGTACAGAGTGTACAATACACATATGCAGAGATGCAAATACACATGTGCACAGGGAAACACACAGCCAGATACACGCACTGCCATGTGCACGTACACAGTACACCACATGTGCATGTGTGTACAGAGTGTGCAATACACACATGCAAAGATGCAAATACACATGTGCACAGGGAAACGCACACCCAGATACACTGCCATGTGCACGTACACAGTACACCACATATGCACACGGCCAGGGACACAAGCAGAAATGCACGCGAGTGCAGCCGGAAGAACACCCACCCACGCAAGACCTCTAAAGTTCAGAAGCATGGGAAGCGCCTCTACACTACGCTGCTGGGAAAGCTGCCGCACCGCGAGCCCGGCTCCGCATTCCTCGGCTGACCCCGGGCTTTCTTCCCTGAGCCCTCTGCCGTCTGCTCCACGCAGCCTCGTCCCCATCTGTGGTGTCCTCTCCCTCAGCCATTCCAAACAAAACCAAACGAGAGCCAAGGGGCAGGCCAGTAAGCTGGCGCGAGAGCGCAAGAGCGAGAGAGCGAGAGCGAGAGAGCGAGAGAGCGAGAGCGCGCGCCTTACCGGAGCCGCAGCAAGCCCTGCCCCTGCAGAAAGAAGCCGCCTGCGCATCCGCAGCCCGCAGGGGGCCGGCCAGCCGCAGCGCCAGGCAGAGAGGCAGCTCCCGCTGCACTCTGCTCGCTGCAGAGCCCAGCCCAGCCCAGCGAGTGCAGGTGCCAAGCAAGGGGAGCCCAGAGCCCCGGGCCCACCCGCTAGTCTCTCAGGAATGGCCGGCCCTCAGCTGGCCTCGCTGCACAACGGTGGGGCCGTATCTGCAGGAAGGAAGAGCACACGAGGTCCAAAGTGAGGTTCCAGCCCCCACCCCTTCCCAAACCCAGGGCTGGGTTGGCGGTGACCTCTCAGCAGGCGCAGCGAGCCAGACTCCTCTTGGGTTCCCAGGGGCCCTAGCGATGGCCAGCAGCACGGGATGTTCCAGGCCAGGGTCCCCCGGGGCTGCAGCCTCACATGGGAAGCTCGGCCGCTCCACGCTCCTCCAGGTGGGCCCCACAGTCCTCGCACACGCCCCCTCCCAGGGCTCCAGGGTCCCAGGGCTGGACTGTTCAATTCATCTGAGGACAAAAATCTACCTGCAGGCCAGAACCAGAACCAGAACCCCTGGGGTCCACTCCTAGCACCTCCTTCCTCGGTTCCGGACTGGCTCAGAAGACCGCCAGCCTGTGGCTGGGACTGTACCTAGGCACCAGAACCAGCAAGGACGGGCAGGGCCAGCAGGGCAGAGGCAGTAGGCACCCAGGATGGATGCGGCGGCAGTGTGCGTTAGCACAGCCCCAGCCTTGCCCAAACGGCCCTTTCCAGGCAGGACCCTGCTAGAGGAGGGCCTGAACGTGAGGCTAAACTGCCGGCGAGCACACACGGCGTGGCACCCTCGGGGCTTGTGGCTGGTGGGAAGAGCACAGAGCTACTTTCTAAACCAGCAGAGGCACCGCAAACCGCGACAGGCTGCTCTCCCGGGGAGGGGGTAATGGGGAGGGGTCGGTGGTGCTACATGGAGCAGTCACGGGGATGTGCACTTGAAGCATGGTTTACTGATTCTGGTTTTAAAAACCCTCAACAAATGTGACAAAACACGCATTCCTATCAACGCTGAGGCAGGCACACTTCTAACTCAGAACTTCCCACAAATCAGCTCAGCTAGGCTGCAAAGGCCTCCGACTCACACATGGCACTTGGTTGGTCTCCTGTCCCTGTCCCTGTCCCCACGGAGACCCAGCGCCCGTGAGGTCAGAGAAGCCCCCGGGCTCTGAGGGGCCAGGAGGGAGCTTCCATCACTCCTGTTCTCCCCAGTCTGGCGACAGTGCTGCTGCCCCCAGTGCGTTCCTGTGCCGTACAGAACCACAGCAGATCTGCCTGAACTCTAACCAGCAAGCTTCCCTCGTAGCCTCCGAGCCGAGGGGGAGCCCCACAGAGTTGATCCCGGAATCCTTTACAGACTAGTGTAGGGGCTGGGGCTGTGGCACAGCAGGCTAAGCCAGCGCCTGCAGTGCCGGCATCCCATGTGGGCCCCGGTTCAAATCCAGGCTGCTCCACTTCCCATCCAGCTCCCTGCTATGGCCTGGGAACGCAGTGGAGGGTGGCCCACGTGCTTGGACCCCTGCACCCGCATAGGAGACCTGGATGGAGCTCCAGGTTCCCGGTTTCAGCCTGGCCCAGCCCTGGTTGTTGCGGCCACCCAGGGAGCGAATCAGGGGATGGAAGATCTCTCTCCCTGTCCATGTAATACATGTTTTTAAAGGCAAACGAACGAAGCCCCCTGTGGCAACATCACTGGACACCAAGCACAGAGAGGCCAGAGTCCTTGCAGCGAACCCCAAGTGACTAAGGAGGAGCTCCAGGTCTCTTCCAGTGAAGGGCCTGGCTTGTTGTGGGGTCTTCCCCAGGTGCGGTCCTTGACAAGAACAGGGCCACCACAGGGGCCCCTACGCAGGAAGGAAACTCAGAAAGAACCCATTACCCACAACAATAAAATCTGCAGAAGGGGCTGGCGTTGAGGCCTCCTGGGTTAAGCACTGCCTGCAACGCTGACATGCTGACATCCCATACCAGCTCGGATTCGAGTCCCCGCTACTCCTGCTCCACGTCCCATCCAGCTCCCTGCTGTGGCCTGGGGAAGCAGTGGAGGATGGCCCAGGTGCTTGGGCCCCTGCACCACGTGGGAGACCTGGAAGAAGCTCCTGGCTTTGGCCTGGCCCACTTCTGGCCACTGCAGCCATTTGGGGAGTAAGCCATCAGACAGAAGATATCTCTCTTTCTCTCTCTGTAACTCTGCCTCTCAGATAAATTAAAAATAAATCTTTTTTTTTTTTTTAAATAAAGTCATGGGCCAGCGCTGTGGTGTAGCAGGTAAAGCCACCGCCTGCAGCACCAGCATTCCACGTGGGCTCCGGTTCACGTCCCAGCTGCTCCACTTCCCATCCAGCTCTCTGCTATGGCCTGGGGAAAGCAGTAGAAGATGGCCCAAGTCTTTGGGCCCCTGTACCCACATGGCTTCAGCCTTCTGGTTTTGAATTGGCGCAGCTCCGGCTGTTGAGGGCATTTGGTGACTGATGGAAGTGCTCTCTCACTCTCTCTCTCTCTCCCTCCCTAACTCTGCCTTGCAAATTAATTAATTAATTAAAAAATAAGGTCTGCAGAAGTAAAATGTAAAATGGCAAGAAGAGCAGAGCCATTTACAACACAGCACTCCCAGGCGGAAAGTCACCGTCTTAATGAGAATGCCACACCCGCCCCGGTGGGACTGGGAGCCAGGACCCGACCATTCCCCAAGAGGTGGGCGAGACCTGCTGACCTTGGCCAGGGCCAGCTTCAACCTGACTCACTCTCTGCAGGGATCCCTGGGACTGTCCTACTCTCCTGGGACTGCTCCAATGGGGTCCAAGGTTCTGACTCCGTAGGTCTGACAGACGCTCAGCAATGTGCATTTGGAAAAAGCTGTGTGGAATGTTCTGGAACGCAGCAGCCAGGCAGAGGAACCACTGCCAACAGCAACCCCCTCCCCACTCCCAAGTCCTTCCTGTCAGCAGCAAGTCCTTACAGGGAAAAAAAATGGAAACTCGCAGAGCACTAAGGAAACAAAACGCTATCAAGAGCCCACAATTCACATCTAGCTTGTAGTTCCAGTTTGTTTCTAGGTAAGTGCCTGTCCGTCCCTGGAGAAAGTCGGGGCCTCGGCACGGGAATGCAGGTGGACCCAAGTGGCTGGCCTGAGTGGAGAGGACGCCCAGACCCAGGAGCACCGTCTTCCCTGCCAGCATTCTGGGAACCCGCAGCTCACACACAGGCACCTGGGAGGAAGCGCTGGCTTCCACACTGAACAGCAAGGGGCCTCCGCAGCAGCCCCCCTCCCCGGAGCTGGGAAGGGAACGGGGAGCCCCTTCCCCTGGACGCTCCCCTGCTGCCCCCCCTGCCGAGCAAGCGCGCTGGTCTCGGCTGCCATCAGCACAGCTGTCACAGCCTCTCTTCTGGCTTCAGAACACGCTGGAAAGAAAAACACAGCCCTTTTCCTGAGCGTCACCGAGTTCCTCTGCCAATCCACCCTGCAGGTTCCAGCCCGGGTCCTCTGCAGGTGTGAACCCGCAGCTGCTCTACAGCTCACCCGGCCCCGGGACCAATGGGGCCTCTGAGACTGGTGCTTTAGGACTGGAGGCTGATGGGCAAGGCCAGGTTCCTGTGCTAGGGGGTTGTACTAAAACTGGGGGAGCAGGACGACTTGAAAGCCACTCTAGTGATGGCTGGGGACACGCTGCTGGAACAAACCGTGGGAGCCGTGTACAGA